TTATGGATCTTCTTCTCCCTTGCTTGTAGTTCTACTATTGTAGAAAGATTATGACTCTGTTACCCTGCTGTACTTTACTTTGGGTTTTTATTAACAGGCTTGGCTTGATTTGGTATTTTCCTCTGATACTTGCAGGTATGTATTTGGAATCACCCATGTTCCTCGGCTGGAAGATTGGCCGGTTATGCCAGTGGAACGCATTGGTTTCATGCTTATGGTAATCATCTACTAACACATTTTTACCAGCACTTTATATGAATCCACCGTCTGGGCTATATATGAAATGTTCTTTATCACGTATCAATGGACACAACTGTGAAAATGGCATTTTGTACCTATGCAAAGTAATGAAATAGTCAATTTGTGAAAATCGGCATTTTGTACGAAATGCTGTTTATTTATTTTTATCACGTATCCATGAACAGTTTTGTGGAAATGGGGATTTTGCATCTACTGACAGCAATAGAATAGTCAATTTGCCCATCTGTCCCTGCATTTTTGTCAATACATTTATTGTGCTCCATGCAGCTCAGCAGTTTTAGCACTCAATTTTTTTTTGGGTATGCCCTCAAAAACATTCCCTTTTTATGGCTCTATTGGGCAGTAAATCCAAATTGAACAGGAGATGAGAAGCTCCATAAAGGAGTGATACACCCATGAGCTGATGAAGGCTTGGGTAGCAGTACCTAAAAACATGTTTGTTCCACTGCATATATTTTCATGACTATAATCTTGTACTTGCTGGGGAACATTGATGCATTGCTAACATTGCACAGCTAAGTAGCTCTATTTCTGAGAAACATTATTCTTTTTGTAGCTCTACGAAAGAGGGGTGCACCCATGAGCCAAAGGCTCAGGAGGTCTCCGTACATAAAGACATGAACAATAAGTTTGTCTAATTCTGAAATCTCACCGTCTAGAGACATCTGACCTTTACTCTTTTTTGTGGGTGCAGCCACATGGATTTTTCAACTGTTCTCCTGCTGTAGATGTCCCGCCTAATGCTTGTGAATTGGATGTGAAAGACAATGACGTCAAAGACAATGGAGTTGCCAAGCCTGTTCAGAACGAGTTGCTGTCCAAGCTTTGAGAAGTATTCGGAAAGTGATGGTCGGTGGTATTTGGAAAACACAATAATCAAACTTTATGCCTAGTTGTCACATCCTCTTGTCTGGTCTTCCCTTTCATATTTTATTATTAGTTGGATCTCTTTTGCTCATAACAGAATTTATGAATGCCATTTGCTAGTCAATTTCTGTTTTGCATGCATCAGCAATAACATTTGATGTCTTTGTGGAAGGTTTTTGATTTGATTTCTTGGTAAGTTCAAGAGTTTAAAGAGTGCGGTCACTTGGGGAATTCCAGATATGCTTACAGTTTACCACTGCCGTGGAGTTGCAATGGTGGATTTGGACTAAGAAATAGTTATGAAACATTATGCAGTATGCAAGGTAGTTAATGTTATGTCCACATAGGGTTGAATATGTTGGTGGTGGTGCTCCCCCAGCAATTTCTTAAGGAAAATTTGAAATGGTTATAACTTGTAGGAAACAAGTGTAGTGAATTTTTTAGACATGTTTGGATGTGAGGTATGAAGAGAATGAGGGGAAATTTTTGTTTTTTTGGAGGGTAAGGAAAGGGAGTTGAATTATTCTCCTCAATTAGGGTTGATACAAAAGAAAATTAATTAGTTATAATAGAAAGACTCTAAATTACCTCTTATATGGTTAAAAATTGCAAAAATAATTTTCTTTAACTAAAGATTTTCTCCACTTAAATTTTCATTTTGAAACAAGAAAATAATACCATCATTTATCTTCCTCTGTGTTAATCATATTTATTGTCTTTTTTCCCTTCCCTTCCCTTCCCTTCCCTTTTAACTTCCATACAAATGATTTGTATTTATAGATAAGATTCCTGACCCATTTAACTCTTAAACCATTGAAAATAAAATGGTGGCACAATTAAGAAATGGTATCCATTAAGTTCTCCAAAAGTGTTGCATCCTGAGTGGTCAGAAAATATTAATTATGTAATTAGTAAACACGTAGAGCATTAGGTATATTTTAAGAGATACTATTATTATATGTCTATCTTTTGGCCAACTATATAACCTAAAGGTGGTAACTCCACATACTTTGGTATTCGAAACTCTCGAAGGTGTTAAATAATAACTAGCGATCTGATGCACGTAAGTTATTAAGCGCTGGTGACCTTTTCTTACGTTGTGTTCTTTTGAGTATTAATACATACCTCACTAGAGGTATTATTAACGATGGTCCCTCATCATCCACTAATGTTAAGCTAATAATTATAATAATAATAATTCTTAAAAATGATTAAAAAAAAAAAAAACTGAACATTTTAATAAATAGAAATAAACTTGAATTTTTTTTTTTATATATAAAAAACTTAATATTTTTAATATATAAATAGTGGATTGTGCATCGATCCAAAACTAAATCAAATTGTTTCAAGCCGAGAACTAAAAATGAAGGAGGATCTAGACTAAATATTAACTTTTTTTTTTTTTTTTTTTAGTTTGATTCAGTTAAATTGGAAAGATAAGATTTTTTTTTAATTTTTCTTAAATTTATTTTAATTAAAAATTTAGTTAAAATAAAAATAAAAATAATAAATATAATACTATACACTCTCAAGTTTGTCTATATAGAAAGGATAATCATAACATATGTACATATATATGTAAATATATATCCCCACAATTATATTTAAAAAAATTAATAAAATCTTAATATAAGTAAAAATGGGAGACTGTGACACCATATATGTACATATACACTCCATTTAACAATTAACACTCAATCTACACTAAACTTAATATCCTCTTTTTCTCACCTCTTTAAATCTTCGTACAAAAAACCTTAAAAAAGAATATTAAGACGACAAAGAAAAATATTTTTTTTTTTCTGACCATAGTTTATTTAGTTCTGTCCAATTTGATACAAACTGACCAATTGATTTTAGTACAACTTTTTTATTTAAACTAAACTACACACCCTTAACATAATATTCCAAAATATTACTATGCGAGTGTTTTCCTCTTATTACCTTAGTTACCTCTTCTTCTAAGTGGGCAATCATTTTTAATCTTGTTTTTCAACCCATTCATTTTCATTGGTATCATATCCTCAGCCACCGTGAAAATAATAATTACTTAATATTTTTAGTTTGCTCTTTCATCTTCAACTAGGTGCCTATTTAAGAAAAATATCATCTTTTATTTTAGTTCAAATCTAATAAGGATGTACATTAAGTGAGTTGTAGGCATCGATTCTCTTAATGCTCATAAACAAAGTCTATCATGGAGAGATTTGTTGTCGTTCCCCACTTGACACCTCCTTTATAAAAAATGTCAAGTTACTTACCTTTTCTCTATCTCTTATAAAAGTTTTTACTATTAACCCACGACATACAACTTCAATATTCATGTACTTCAAGTTTTGGTGAATAACTTAACTAATGTGTTATGAGGGTTTATGGACAAAGAAAAATAAATATCATACTTACGTATCCCTTTTGATATAAAAATGTCTTCGTAAAGTTTGTCAATAATTGCAAACTCTACCTAAAAATAAATAACATAGTGTTGTAAGACATTCTTCCTCTATTTAATATTTAACAGATTGATAAATAGCTTTTTTTATTTTTTGGTTGCTAATGATTGCACTTATTAATCGACTGATCTGTTAAAGTACTTTATACTCCCCAGCTTGAGGGTTTGAAATCACTAACATGTTAGCTTTTTGACAGTTAAGTGGAACACCCGACATAATATGACACTAAACCCTAAGATATTTTTATAACAGTTTAAATAGTAATAGTCATTTTTCTATTACAATAATCAAATGAAGGGATCTTGAATTTCATTAGAGTGATATATTTTTAAGATGCCCCATTTGAAGGGCCACCATTTTGAGTAGGTAATAAAGGTTATCTTTTGGCAAGTATTAAGTTCTCAAGTTTCTTTAAACAAATCTCATATTCATTAGTGTATTAAGTCGCCCTTACTAACATTTTCCTTGATCCTATTTGTGGTTCTCAATCTTCTTGTGGTGATATCCCCTTTTAGGTTGCTAAAATGAACCTAAACCATACTCCTTTACATTTCATGAGCCACTTTTGACAATTCAAGCCCTTAAGCCTTAATGTTGTTGGCTTTGCCCTTTGATGATCTTGATTTTATCATCATTTTTATCATTTTGTCCAATTATTGGACGCTGAGATTGCTCATCATCTCATTAATTACTACTATATATATATGTCTTTGTTTAATGCACTTTGTGCATCTCTCTCTTTTCTCCAAGTCCTGTTGTAGAACTTGCTAAATATAGGCATTCTTATGAATCTCCATAACCAATACCTCGTCATCCTCATAGCTGAATATATGGTGTATCTCTAATTCCTATGATCTACAATTCCTATCGACACGAACATGTGAAATATTTCCATCTACAATAGTTTTGATACTTTTTTCCTTCTTATAACAATAATTAGATATTATTTATATTTTTTTAACTCTTCTAATAAATGATGCTTAGTATTATAGATAAAATTTAAAATTAACAACTTGGGAGTAAGAAGAAAGATTGTCGTTCTTCATATACCTAAAATCATAAAAAAATTTGTTAAGATTTTTTTTTTTTTTTTTTAAAAAAGACACTTTAGTATGATATGATTGAGAGAGAAATTGCAAAAAATAGTATAGTATGTAAAATATAAAAAGTAAAAATTAAAGGTAGTCTTTAAAAGTTCTAAATATTTAGGACATAATTGTTGTTAGAAAATTTAAAATTTGTCAAATGATGAGATGATATATTAATTGTTATCTTTTTCAAATATTGTTTACCAATTAACTTATTTACATAAATTATATATTTTCAAGAAGCCGTATCTAATATGTGTTCAACGAATATATTAAAGTCTTTAACTTTTAATTCTAAATTATTAATTTTTTTTTTAAAAAAAAGAACATAAAGTTATAACTTGTTCTACTACTTAGTGTTGGTTTTATTATCTTTTGGCTGGAAAGTTCAGTATTGATTAGTTTTAGATTATTTAATTTAATGCAAAATTTTATATTAATGAATTAAACTTTGACTCTGTGCAATGATTTGAAGGGTGAGAGTGTAAGAAAAACAAATGCAATGGATTAAGAAAAGCAATTAGGAATCCAGTAGAAATTGGGTATGACTCGTGTTTGTTCTGGTCAACCATTCTGACCCTCCTTACCACCAATTCATTCGTCAACTTTGTTCTCATTTCTTAATGTGAAAGTCTCCATGAAACCTAACTTGTTCAATTTTTACTTCACAAACATCTGAAATATGAGAAATCGGCCCTAAATTTATCTTCAATTCTTTATATATATATATATATGTATATTTTAATGTTTTCTGGTTTTGAATCTATAGTCTGCCTATTTGTCAACGTTCAATATGTCTTGCTTAAGAACTTAAAAAAATTAGTATAATTTGGTTTAAGAAATCTGACTGACCTTACCACATTTCTGCTTCTCTCCTAGAGATCAAAAACATCCATTTCTCCAAAATTTCCAATCTCAATTTGAAAATTACAAAAAAAGAAAAAAGAGAGAGAAAAACCCAGTTGGAAATTATTACCCAAATAAATAAATAGTAGTTTACAATTATTTTTGAAGAAGCGTCTTAGATTCTCAGCTTTATCACTGTATTGATAATTCCCCTTCTTCTCTCTAACAGAAATACTTGAAATTTGTAGTAAAGAAAACCAGAAAACATGTCGGCTCCTGCGCAAGAAGAGGAGAAGACCCTTCAAGAAGAGCTTTCTTTACCAATCTTATTAGCAGACCGCGTAATCAAGTCCGCCCAGGAGGCTGAGTCCTCCAAACAGGAGTGCGCCGATCTTGCCCGTCAGGTCGACCGTCTTTCTCATAAGCTCCGATCATGCGTCCGTCTCTCCACTTCTTCTACTCCCAACCAGCCCATTTACGAGCGCCCACTCCACCGAATCGCCGCCGATATCGCCAAGAACCTCGATCGAGCTCTCACCCTCGTTCGGAAGTGCAGACACAGTGGTCTCCTCCGCCATGTCTTCTCCATCACCACCACCGCTGATTTCCGCAAGGTTTCTAACCTCCTCGAGTCGTCTATCGCCGACATGAGCTGGTTACTCTCCATTTACGATTTCTCTGACGGCGGTACCGACCTCTCTCTTCCTCCTATTGCCAGCAACGACCCAATTCTCGCCTGGGTCTGGTCTTATATCTCCACCATAATCATGGGACAGCTCAAGGACCGCATCGATGCCGCGAACGAGCTTGCTTCTTTGGCTCGCGATAACGATCGTAACAAGACCATCATCGTCGAGGAAGGTGGGGTTTTGCCTTTGCTTAAGTTGCTCAAGGAAGGCGCTTCACCTGAAGCCCAAATCGCCGCAGCCAACGCGCTTTTCAATATCGTCACGGACCAGGAGAAAGTGAGGTTGGTTGTGGATGTTCTTGGGGTACCCATCATTGTGGCTGTTCTTGGGGAATCGTCCATGAAGGTGCAGATTGCGGTGGCTAATTTGGTGGCTAGAATGGCTGAACTTGACCCCATTGCGCAGGAGGAACTCGTTAGAGATAATGTCATAAGGCCGCTGGTTTCTTTGCTGTCCATGGATTTGGTTCTTGAGGTTGCCAAGCCACAGGTGGGGAGGAGCATTCATTCACTTGTTCAGATGAATAAAGAATTGGCAGAGAAGTATCCGGGGAATAGCAAAAATAATCATAGTGGAACCAGTAATCACAGGGGAACTTTGAATTTCTCCACCCACTCGTCTTTCTCGGACGGTAGCAGCAGGGGTAACCATCTTAGGAAGGAAAGGGAGATGGAGAGCCCCGAAATGAAGCTTAAGCTTCAGGTGAGCTGCGCAGAGGCTTTGTGGAAATTGGCTAAAGGGAGATTATCTACAAGCAGGAAGGTTACAGAGACAAAAGGGTTACTTTGTTTGGCCAAGATTATTGAGAAAGAGAAGGGGGAGTTGCAGTTTAATTGTTTAATGACAGTTATGGAGATCACCATGGTGGCCGAGGAGAATTCTGATCTCAGACGGGCAGCTTTCAGGACCAACTCTCCTGCTGCAAAGGCAGTTTTGGATCAGCTGTTGAGGGTGATTCAGGAAGAAAGCACTCCCGAAAATCATATTCCTTCTATTAGAGCAATTGGATGTTTGGCTAGAACTTTTTCTGCAAAAGAGAAACCAATAATTAGTCATTTGGTCAAGCAGCTTGGTAATAAAAATGTGGAAGTAGCCACCGAAGCTGCTATAGCACTGGGGAAGTTTGCCTGTCCAGATAATTTCAATTGTTCAGAGCATTCAAAGGCCATAATTGAGTTTGATGGTGTCCCACCTTTGATGAAATTGATAAGAGTAAATAATCGAGCTCAAAGGCATGGACTTGTATTGCTCTGTTATCTTGCTCTCAATGCGGGAAACAGCAAAGCCCTTGAACAAGCCTGCGCTTTGAATGCACTTGAGGGGGCAGCTCGCTCTGTTGTTGCTCAACATCCTGATCTGAGGGATTTGTTCGCCGAAGCCATACACCATCTTACTCTTTATCAGGCTGGAGCTCATCCACACGGGCAGACACTTACAGTGTGACAAATAATCCATGTGTGTTTGTGAGTTGAAGAAAACGAAGGTATGATGATACAAGAGATTCTTTATCATCATTTCTCTTTAACAGAAGAGTGTATGCACAGAATGCCTCTGTAATTGGTTGCACAAAAAATGTAACAAATGTTTCATTGATGTAGTCTTAAAAGATATATACCAAATTTTATACCTCCAGAGTTTTGCCTTTCCCTCCACCACCCTCATTCCATCTCCTCCCTAGGCAATGTTCTTTATATAGCAGGGCAACTATTCTCTTTCGCTTTAACTAACTCTATTTCTTTTACCGTTGTATGCACCAAATTGTTCATAAAAGATTCATACTTCTTTAGAAGCGGGGAACAGACGGTTTCCTTTTAGACCAAACTCACTTTTATCTTGCTTTTTCTTGGTGTATCTTGAAATCATTTTTGAAGTTTCAAGTCATATTATTGTCCACTGTGAAAGTTTATTCAGGGAATAGTTTTTTGTTTGGCACATTGTTGTATTGATTGATGTACTATGCAACTGCAAAATTTATTAATTCAGTATTGTCCTGCATTAGTTTTTTCTTGTGGTTTTATTTCTCTTGTTTACTATCAGCTGTTTTATAAGTTGTTTTGTTATTTCAGGTCACCTTGATGGGTAGTTGGTGAATCTTCCTTTGTCAGCTATGTTTATGGAATTGGAAATAGCATTGTTGAGAAAATTTACTATGTACGTGGAATGCATATAGATTTTTCTCCATTCTCTCCTTTTTTTTCAGATTGACAATCAGCAATATTTAGTTTGTAAATCTTATGAGTCACCAACTTTTTGGTGTTGGTGGGGGGGGGGGGGGAAGAGAGTTACATTCAGCAGCTACTGTAGCTACATTTTAGAGTTCTCCATCATACAAGTTTTCGTTGTATATTCAGGACATTTAAAATCTATATAGAAGTTAGGTTATGTGATAAACATTGGAAACATGTCCTGTCAGCCTATGGTTATGAGAAGAGGGATAATATTAAATTTGATTATGATTCGCCAAATGGGCTTTGTAAGGCCTACTAGCAAAGTTTATTGGTATGATATTGATGTCAATATCTGATTATCTGATCCCGACTTGGCCGTGACAGTTTTTTGCATTTTTCAATACAGCAGGTTTAGAATCTGTTACTGTCATGAAGAATCAAAGTTAGCTACTTCTTGCTAATTTGATTCCAAGGCCCGGTTGCTATGAAGTCTGCTTAGTCCATGGTTTTCCAAGTATGGTAAGGTGACAAAATATCAAAATAGGCTAGTTTCCTCCTAGCTCACTATAGTGGCCTAGCGACATGGAGTTAGAAGGTGTGAGGCTGGAAAGTATGACATAGCAGAATTCCAAATCCCATAGTGCAAACGTGAAAGCCCAGAAATCGCATAATAGAGTTGGAAACTCTGCAAGGACTGAAGTAGGAAGAAAGCAAAGACAAGGCATAGGGATTTAGAGGTAGAAAAATCATATACTTCTTAATTTTGGTCAGAGACTGTTCTGATAAGGCTAATACTAGGTACTGGCAGACATTAAATCTTTACATTGATTGCAAATAGAAAGTCCATCTAAACTGACCTATCCAGAATCATGCTAGTAGAATAGAATGTGAAATAACAAGAAAAAGATATACCAGAACTCACAAGTAAGATAAAAAGGAATTGATTCAATTAACTTCTTAGATAGTCCTTCATCAGAAAGTTTAGAATTGGATTAAATCATAACATTTCTCTCTCTTTTCTTGTCTCAAAATTAGGACCAACTCTTTTATTGGTTTCAGTTCTTGATTTCATTAAAGGCTTGTCCATTTAGTTGATATTGGTTTAATTAAGGGCTTCCTCATGTAGTTGTTGTTTGTTTTATTAATGGTTTACTCATATACTTTGTTTTCCTTAATGGTTTGCTGAACTTTAGCATGCAATCCTTTTTGAACTAAAAGTTTCACTTTAGGTAAAGACCATTTTAAGATGATGGTAGACACTGGTGAGGAGGATAGTTTCTGGTTCCATCGCAGATAAGCTTTCAGTAACCTTATTGCTTTGTCTAATTTATTGATAATATGGTAAGAAAGAAAGAAGAAAGTTTCTAAAGGCATTTGCTCTCCTGTTGCTAGAATTAGGAATCCAATGATTTAGTTCTTGAGTATTTTGTTGACAGTCTATTGACACAAGAAAGCATGGAATTCACTTGAAAATTCACGTTCAGAAATTTGAAATTTATATAAAAACATAGATTAATAATTGAAATTCCGTATTTTTATCTCTTGGTTAGCAACCATGGTTAGTGAATATAAGCAAAGGAGATTTGTTGTGTTTGTAGTGTTATATTTTCCTCAGGATTTTGAGGGCTGCTGTTTCCTTCCCTTTCCTGCAGAAAAAAATGACCTACTTTGGTTTCTCCTTTAGATTCACATTCCCATTTTTGATAAATGGTAGGTACTGTATTAGCTGCTCAGACTTATGATTTTCTTGTCAACCAAACATGATGTTTTTGTTTTTGTTTTTTTCTTTTGAAGATAAAGGAACCATGATGAAAATATTTTCTTATTTTTTTACTCTTATATGTACTTCATCTCTAAAAGTATAACTTGTTAGTTATTTGATGTTAAATGAATATCTCAGGAAATTTGTGAGTGATGAATTGGTATGGCAGTCAATTAAAGTATTTGGATTGTAATGGAGGGTCAAATCCCAATCCTAAGCAAGTAGATTAGTAGTATGGAAGATCAAATTCCACCTAAACTCCTCCTAATGTCATTAATTAGGTAAACATTATAAGAGGTTTATCTTTGATGAGAAGTTATTATTCATTATTAAGACAACTTAAAACTTAAGAAACCATATACGTTGTATATGTATATATGTGTGTGTGTGTGTGTGTTTTTATAGATGGTTGAGGTTGAAGATTACCGTTAAGCCTAACAACAATATGTATCCTTATCAGCCGGAATTGAAACTATATATAACCCTACCTACTCTCTAATTTATTACCACCTGATTTAATTACTTTTCTGTCGGTCGTCTTCTGCAATTGGCCAAATGATTACCCGCCCACTAAAACATGTGGGACATTGTAATTTCCTCATACAACTGCAAAATTCTGCACCATATACATATTTACCAAACAAAAGATGTAAAGTATATATGTGTCATGTATCCAGATCAAGAAATTAAAGGTGCTGGATTTTGCTGCTACAAATCCCTCTGAAGTCCACAACATAATTACATCATTGCTGACATTTTCGCTACTCATCATATTCTTTACTGTTTTCCATATCCACTCACAAAATTCTTGATTTCACTTTATCTTGTTTTTTTTTTCTTTCCTTCATAACTCATACAATTAATAGAACATATACAAACTTTATCCTATTCCATTGAAATTCAATACCTATTTCTTTCTATACCAACCCAAATATTAATGATTTTTGCTTTTTGGGTTAGCAGCAGGGAATTTTCAGATCATAAGTGAGGGTATTAGAAATATTAACTACTGGTCTCTAAATTTTTCAAGTTCGAACACCCAGAGAAATCTAACAACAATAAAATCATGGCCAACATCATTTGTACATATGTACGTGTATATATATGTAAAAGGTTCTTACTATATGTAGGATAATAAACTGATGGCAATAATACCAGCACGTTGATCTTCATCTAGGTAGCTACATATCTACAAAAAAAATCAAGCTTCAGCTGTGGCCGTCCTCATCCCAATTACTCCCAAACCTGGATGAAGTTTCCAGGAGGTTTGGAGGCACACTCTCTCTTTCTCTCTCTTCAATAATACTTGGATGGGCAGGCAGCCAGCCAATGCATGGAGGGGCCTGAGGATTGCAGCTGGATCATATGTTAGGAAATCGGCATCTCAGAATATATCATCATAGGCCCAGATAATCTTGTTATTAAAAGTTCTGCCACCCTTTCAAAATATCAAAATATCTATATTTACGCGTACCCCGTCTCTCTAATCATATTTCTTTGCACTAATTTCTCTCTCTAGTACATATACATACACATTGATAAAAAATAAACATGCCCACTTTACTGGGTTTTAGTCAGTTTAGCTTTTGAGCAGGTTGAAGATACATAATAACTAACCAGTAATGAAAATAAAACTATATATCAACTGTTAAAACATATAATTTTAATGATAATTTGGTAGACGCCAAATGGATCAATGTAATATGGACGACAGAAATTAGTTTTCACTCTCTATAACTGTAGAAACATTATTTCCACTCCCCTGGAAACAAATACAGAAACCAGAAAAAGAATACAGTGGGCAAAAAGAGAAAAAAAGAAAAAGAAAAGAAAAGAAAAGAGAATACAGATTAGATCATCAGCCAAAGTAATCTTTTGGTTTTTTTGGAAAAAACCTGGTTATAAAAATTTAAAAGATGAAGAAAAAGAAGGAAAAGAAAAAAGGGAAAAAGATCAATCTCATCTCAAACCTTTCAAATAGGATTGCCTGTACGTGCTATCAACATCTGTGTGTGTTTAAAGAAGGAAGAAAGGAATGAATTTACAGTACTCATATGTGGTGGAAGACACGATCAAAATTTGGTCCTGTTAGATCTTCTGACAACGATGCTAACGGAAAGCTACTTAAATCTACACAAGTCTGAGATTGCAGCTGTTCATCTTGATCACGCCATGAATTACTCGGCTGAAACATACAGTCTAATTTGTTGTCGTTTTCCCATGAGAAAGCTCCATTATTTTCCACCATATTGCTCGTCAATGCAGTGGTAGTAGTAGTAGTGATGTTTGAGCTGTTGCTTGAACTCTCCTTTGCTTCATTCAACAGGAAAGAATTATCAGAGAATTCTGTCCCGGACATGTTTCCATAATCATGAAAGTTAACTAAACTCGGCATTGAACTGAAGGTGAAGTTGGAGCTTGTCTCAAACTGGGTATGATCAAATGCTACTGATCTTAAAATCGTAGGTTGATTTTGAGGAACATAACTGGAAATAGTAGTATACCCTGTTATTGGAACATCAGGTAAGTCAAAGTAGGATAGAGGATCATACGCCACCACCGGTTTGTTCATCAAAAACTGCTGATCTTGTCTTAATGCGTCTTGTTGATAATTACTAGTAGTTGAATCGTTGTTGACAAGAAATGCTGGTTCGTGTGAATTAGTGAAAGGTTTGATGAGAGTGGAGTGTGATGTTTGGTCCGTACAATCCTTCTCTTGTTTCACTTGAATATTATTATAGTTGTTTATAAGTGGCTTGTGTGTGGTTGGATCAATGCCTTGCTTCATTAGCTTCTTCTTCAGACAGGAATTCCAGAAGTTCTTAATCTCATTATCTGTTCTTCCAGGCAACTGCGCTGCGATTTGAGCCCATCTGCAGTTCATGATCACCACAAGACTGGAAGATTCATACCCAGAAATCATCCGTTTCTACATATGTGTGTGTGTGTTAATATATGTATATGTGTGGGTATGAAATGCTTGAATATTGGTACCTGTTTCCAAGAACCTCATGGAGACTGATTATTAGATCCTCCTCCTGCTGGGAAAACATACCCCTCTTAAGGTCAGGTCTCAAGTAGTTTATCCATCTCAATCTGCAACTCTTTCCACATCTCTGTAAGCCTGGAAAGACACACAGACACTACTACTTGAGATATACCCAGTAACATTCAAGATTGGAAATATATATTTATATACAAAGATGATGATGGAAGAGGTTGAAGAATACGTGTGTGTGTGTGTGTAGAGAGAGAGAGAGAGAGAGAGAGAGAGGTACCAGCTAGCTTGGGAACAGAACTCCAGCAACCAACGCCAAATCTGGTGATGTAATTAAAGAGTTTCTCGTCTTCTTCAGGAGACCACAAGCCTTTCCGGAGTTTTTGCTTGAGACAGCAGGAATGGCGTCCCATTTTAACTTTGGTTTGGTCTGAAAAAGATTTGTGTGCGTGCGTGCGTGTGTGTGTGTGTATATATATGAAGAGACCAGATTGGAGAAATGAAGAAATCAAATGAAAATGGAGAAAACGTTTTTGATGGTTTTAAAGAGACGAGCGAGTAAAATCATACTTAGAGTTGAAGTTATAGAGAGAGAGAGAGAGATGAGGTGAAGGGCAATCAAGTGGGTTTTACGCAAATCTGGTGCTGCTTTAATTAATTTGTATTAGATTGATTTTTAAGATATCTTCTAATTTGAACATTTAATTTAATATGACTCCAAAGTTAAAAATTTAATTGGATAGCACGTGGTAAAGAGTAGTTGTTTGCTGAAAATCATTCAATACGTAATCGATGGATCATCTTGCCTCCAAGAAAGCTATTTATTTATTTACTAAAAAGAGTAAATTAATTGCAATGAAGACATGTTAAATATGTATCAGTGGGATAAAGTTATTAAAACTAAAACGTGATGGGTTGGCAACTAGCAATTACATAGATATTAATTTATAAAGTCAGCCGACAACAAGTGTGGGCTCCATCTGCCAATATTTGACTCTTTGACTTTGACAGTGAGAGCTGTGTACCGTAAGATTCGATTGCCAAATTAATATTTCCTTTTTTTTTTTTTTTTTTTTTAATATTATAAGAAGAAAACACCACTTTTCATGTTCCATCTACTTGAAACTAAACCAACACACAAATTTCTTATTTGTAACTTCAAATTAATAATACCATATAACAACTTATTAATTTTATAAGTTACCCGAAAGTTTCAAAATGATAAAAGAGTTATTTTTTCATACTCTACTTTCATGTTTGATTAATATTTGTTTTTTCCATTCTATCATTAGAATGATCCGATGGAGTAATGCTTTAAAATTCATTAAGACTTACTAACTCATCTAACCAAAATTAAAATTTTCTCTTTCCACGCATTTTGAAATATTATTTTATTTTGAGCTCTCCATAAAGCCTAAGAAATCATCACAAAAAGACTTTTCTATATTTTAGATTGTTGATGACGCTTTTTTTTTTTTGAGAAAAAATACTGTGTGTCAATCAACTCATGTAATTTTCTTGTAGATTGGAGCCCATTTGAGGGCGAAATCTTATATCTTGTTTGTAATGACAATCATTTATCATCTCACATACATATGGATGGACTATTTCAAACTTTTTATCTTAAACATCTTAGTAATATATAGATATTTAGTAACCAATAAGCTTTCTTATAAATCATTTAGTTGATGTCTCATCTTGTATTGGTTGAGACAGTATGGGAAATAATTCTTACTTTTTAGCAAATATTGTCATCTTGTATTGATGATAGTACGCCTATATTAGCAAATACATGTCATTGTTTTACTTTTTAGTTACAACTTGGTTGAAATTATGTAAATCATGAAACCCTATATATATATTCAGTTTGTCTAGACTTAACTTTTACTAAGATAAAAAGTGAATTTTTTTAGTACTAATATGAGTACCCTACCCAAAGTTTTGAAATCATATTTGTGTTATGATCATACACTCTTATCCATATATGAAAACAACTTATCATTTAAGACAAAAAAATCTCTAATATAATTTTCACCATGATCTCTTTATGTACTTCATAAAGCACGTTGATGTGACTATAAACAAAAAAAAAAATTAAAAAAGCCCCAGCAAAGGACTAAAAGAAGATAAAACAAAAAAAATTACAAGTATTGAAGCCCCAAAAGAAGTCTAAAGCCGCAAAGAAGAGAAGTCTAGTTTATGTTTAATTTCTAGTATTTTTCTCTATTATTTTATTAAGAGTTTGAGTTTTAATTTAAGTTAAATTTTAGTTTTTAATTTGAATTAAAATTAAGAATTAGATTTAAAATTTTTATTTTAGAGTTTAAGTCAAATAAGGATGACAAACTTTATAAATAGAGACCACCACTCCTCATGTAAACACAAGTTCAATATTCAATAAAATTTCCATTTTACTTTTAGCTCTTAC